TTATTTATAATTATTTTCTTATTTTTGTATATTTCTCTTACTATTTTTTACTTTATTTATTACTTTATTTTTGAATGTAAATATTATTACTTATTATTTTTTACTTATTTTTATTCATGTAATTATTTTTTCATCAATTTTTTTTTCACCTAACTTTATTGCTATCACACAGGAGCTAACAAGTCACTGTGTGATAGCCATTGGAGGTGACAGGTTCTTTTTATTGACCCTGTCACCTCCAATACAGGAGTCCTAGCACAGCGCTGTGCTGGAACTCCTGCGACAGGTGAGAGGGGAAGAGCACAGCACTGCACAGCTCTCCCCTCTCACTGTCTACATGGAGCGGTAGGGTTACTTTTAACCCTGCTGCTCTGCTCACTGCTCACTGCTCTCCATCTTAAGGACTGCGGTGGCGAGGGCGGAGACAGGCGGACGCAGCATGGAGAAAGGTAGGTACAGGGGAGGGACGGAGGGGGGCGGCGGGGGAGGACGGACCTGCAGTCTAATTACAAGTGTTCTCTGCGATTTCTCCTATTCTACATTTAGCCCGGCTTGTGCCCTGAATGGGACACCCCCCCACCACCACCACCACTACTATAATATGCAGATTTGTATCTCGGACTCATCAGCATTTCCTCCTCAGGGACTCACGGCTTGAACGAAAGCTCCTTCGAACTGGAGATGTCACAAGTCGGCTTCTCGATTCACGTCCTCGAGGTGAGAACGGATCTGATCATAAGACCTCTGCAGGCATTTACAAAAACCGTTCAGTCCAATGAGCTGGCGGAGCGGTAAACCCAACAAAACCCGCTATTATTATCCAAAATCTTCTTTAGTTTTGGAGGTGTTACCATTTCCGCTAGGCTAATATGGCTGCCTGTGTCCCCATTGGGGAAACTCTACCCCACTTCCTGTTTTCCAAAAAAGAATAATTATCCCATCGGGGGCCCAGAGAGAAGTAACTGACTGAAAGATGTTCTGACCATCAACCCACCTTACCAAATACAAGCAACTGCTGTAGGTATCTCGGCTCATGGAGGAACCCCCTCACTTCCTGTCACTTCCTGTCTATTAGGAGTTATGCAAATATCAAAATGCTTTGACGGACGTGTGTACAACGGGTGCAAGACTGAAGGCAAGGCCGGAGTTCAGATTGACATAAATTAGAGTCGGGCTTTGCATTTCGGAATGCCTTGTGTAGCAATTATATTTACCATTTTCCTTGGAAGTGGAGTTCTCCTTTAAATGTTCCTCCTGTCCTGATATACAGATGATGGAGATGGGCTCTGAGCGATGACATCCGCGTTATTTGTTTATAACAGTCGGCATTCCATTTCAGTAAACGTTGTCTGTGTGGTTTATGGGGGACAGCTGTGTGTAAGTGGATGCCAGGTGTTCTGCCGCAGACGGCACACGCGTGTGGGGTCATTATCCATATCATTGTCAACACTCAGAACTAAGAGATGTGACACGGGAGCCTGAACATCTGTTAAATCTGACCTCCGACCTCCCCTTCAGTCTTGCCCAGTTGTACCGGCTCCTCTCCTTTCATTCAGTTGGCACAAAGAACGTGAATAAATACAAATGGGTTTTGAACCCTTCCACGCTCTATCCAAAAAGACATTTTGGCTTTAGTAGTCAGGTGACCCTCCACAAGTAGATCTCTCAGAGAGTTTGGTGTCCTTGTATCTCTTCTCGGCCTTGCTGAGTATAATCTACAGCTTTGTCCCCGCTTTTGGTTTCCCGCAGGACGGGATTCTGTTCGGGATGGTCGGAGCTTACAACTGGGATGGGGCCGTGTTGAAGGAGTCCAAGGACAGCCAGGTTATGTCTCCCCGCGCCACCCTTGAGAAGGAGTTTCCGGTCAAGATGAAGAACCACGCCGCTTACCTTGGTACCCCGACATTCTGCCACTGGGCTGGGGAGCTAGCACTTCATATGAAGCAGGGATCCCCTTTTCACCACTTGCCTGTCATTCCAGTCCTAGCCACTACTTGACCACAAGGAGTAATCTACCTGATCCCCTTAATGGAGCTCACCAATCAAAAGCCCCAAGCACTGCCACATTGGGTATGGGGAGTAGACCCACCATAAAGGAGCTCACCAATCACCAGCCCCAAGCATTTTCACATTGGGTAAGGGCAGTTGATCCACCATAATGGAGCTCACCAGTCACCATCCCCAAGCACTGTCACATTGGGTAGGGGAAGTTGATCCATTATAATGGAGCTCACCAATCACCAGCCCCAAGCTCTGTCACATTGGGCATGGGAGGTTGATCTGCCATAATGGAGCTCACCAGTCACCAACCACTAGTACAGTCACATTGGGTATGGGGAGGTTAGTCCACCATAATGGAGCTCAGCAATCACCAGCCCCAAGCACTGTCACATTGGGTATGGAAGGTTAATCTGCCATAATGGAGCTCATCAATCCCCAGCCCCAAGTATTGTCACATTGGGTATGGGAGGTTGATCTGCCATAATGGAGCTCAACAGTCAACATCCCCAAGCACTGTCATATTGGCTATGGGGAGGTTAGTCCACCATAATGGAGCTCACCAATCACCATTCCCAAACACTGCAACATTGGATATTTGGAGTTATTCCACCATAATTGAGCTCACCAGCCACAAGCATTGTCACATTGGGTATGGGGAGGTTAGTCCACCATAATGGAGCTCACCAGTCACCATCCCCTAACACTGTCACATTGGGTATGGGAAGTTGATCCAGCATAATGGAGCTCACCAATCACCAGCCCCAAGCACTGTCATATTGGCTATGGGGAGGTTAGTCCACCATAATGGAGCTCACTGATCACCAGCCCCAAGCACTGTCACATTGGGTATGGGGGTGCACTACTGAGTGTGCAAATGTCAACAATTGCCAGGGACTTTATAGGGTTTAACTTGGAATCTGAGAGTTGGGGGAGCACCAGTAGGTGTAAGAAGTAGGTTCCAATACAAGGTTGGGGTGGGGTTTTGTGGCAGCACAAAATAGCACAAACAATACCCCATTTACCTTCTAATCTTGCTCTCCAGGTTACACAGTTTCGTCCATCACATTGCGCAGCGGAAGAGTATTGTACGTGGCTGGAGCCCCCAGGTTCAAACACAAAGGCAAGGTCATCTTATTTGAGATGTCCCAGAGTGGAGACCTGACTATCTCTCAGGCCCTGGTGGGGGAACAGGTGAGGCAACAAAGGCAACAAAACGGATAGATTCATGTTTTTATTACATTTGTTTAATGACAGGAACACAAAGTATTATAGGGTCTGATTAATAAACCATTCACGCAGCTTCTTGCTGTGCGAACGAGATTCGCAGTGCTGAATGGCCACCAGATGGAGCCAAGGAGCACAGGAAATTCCTCTCCTCCTTGCCTCCATCCAGTGGCCATACAGCCATGTGAAGTAAAAGGATTTATTTCCTCCAAAGCCTACGGATGAACCAAAATATGAACCCAGAATACTAATTACTGGTTTTATTATTGCTATAGCTAATGGTATATAATCTCCTATACCTAAGATATGGAGGGAATGAACATTTATTGCCGTATACAATGTCCTCTCCTTCAATTCTACAGATTGGCTCATACTTTGGCAGTGAAGTGTGCCCGGTTGATGTCAATAGAGATGGGGTGACTGACGTCCTCCTGGTGGCCGCTCCCATGTTTCTTGGACACCATCACAAGGAAACTGGACGGGTTTATATCTACAGGGTGGGGCAGGTAATGCCAATTCACAAAGGACTCCTCTCGGCACTCTTGGTATATTGTAAGCTACAACCATTTATGTGCAAATATGTTTTTTTATGGAGTATTAGCTCATTTGGGGCCGCTCTGCATGCCGTAACTGAACATGACTTCAAGGAAATGTCAACTGAGATATGTATGAAGGCTTCCATCACCTCATCTTCTGAAAATGCTATGAAGCCAATGAAGTCCCATCTCCTGGTTTGTATTAGGAGTTGGTGACTCAAGAAGTACAAGATGATAAATGAAAAGGATAGGAATGGTAGCCTGCAGAATACTCTCAGTATACTTTCCATTGGAACATGTTGTGTTATGACACGCAGGGGGTCTCTCACATGAGCTAATCTTCATATTTTTACACACGTGCCTGGCCAAGGTCATCAGAGATGACCTTCACACCATCGTGACTGGTTCCTTTTGAATATGGATACCCTCATCAGTTTCTATGTCCTCACCTTTTTATGCAGGCGCTTCTGACCCTGAACGGCACGCTCCACACTGACCGCAAACCGCAGGACTCCCGCTTTGGTTACGCCATGGCCAGCGCCTCAGATCTCAACCAGGATGGGTTAGATGATGTGGTGGTGGGGGCCCCATTGGAGGACAACCACCGGGGGGCAGTGTACATCTACCATGGACGAGGCAACACCATCCTGCCATCCTACAAGCAGGTCAGTCATCACATGAAATGCACTGGGGGGGGTCTATGTTTAAAAAAATAATTGCTGTGGGATTGTACCACCATTCATGCAAAAGCCGCAAATAATACCCATGGGAATGTTTTAATGGTATTTTTAAAAATCTTTAAAATCTATCTTTCGCATGAAAATGTAACATTCCCTGATATCCCAGGAACATTTCATCTTAAGAGATAATAGCCCAAGAACATTCAACCAGTAGAGGAAACAACACTCCACAGAAGCCATGGTTCTTGTTGGGTCCCAAGCCCTTCTACATCCAATCCATTGTTCTTGTTGGTCCCTAAGCCCTACCTCATAGAAACCATGGTTAATACCATTTCCTAAGCCCTACTCTATAGAAGCCATGGTTCTTGTTGGGTCCCAAACCCTTTCCATAGAAGTCATGGTTCTAGTTGGGTCTAACCCCACTCTATTGAAGTAACGGTTGTCATTGAACCCCAGACCCTGCTCCATAGAAACCTTGGTTCTTGCTGGGTCCTAAGCCCTACATCATAGAAGCTATGGTGATTGTTGGATCCCAAACCTTTCTCCATAGAAGCCATGGTTCACGTTGGATCCCAAGCCATTCTACATAGAAGCCATTGTTCTAGTTGGGTCCCAAGCCCTACTCCATAGAAACCATGGTTCTCGTTGCGTCTGAAGCCCTACGCCATAGAAGAGATGGTTCTCATTGGTCATTCTACATAGAAGCCATTTTCAAATCTTACCTGAGCAAACTGAAGAGATATGCTGATTGGTTGCCATGGGCAACTGCTGCAGATTCTCTCTACTCCAATTTTGATAAATCCCCCCAACTGTGTTTAAAAAATGACTTTTCCAATTCAATGTGCAGCCATAAATGTGTCTTCCTTGCAACCATAACAACCTTTGGGGATGTTGCCTATCTCTTCTCCCAGAAATCCTATTTCCTGCTTCTGTGATTGGCTGGTGGCCCTTCCTGGCAGATTTGCCCTAATTACAACACTAGGACTTGTCATGTGATTGCAGCAGACGGACCCTCCCAATGAGCACTCAGTTTAGGGAAGTCACTGCAGAGGCTTGTCTCAGTACCTCCGGGGTGGGAGCATGTAGGAATCCTGCATGAAGTGTGTTAAAAACCTTGTAATGTATAGATCGGACCTGGAGATTCCTTGTTTCCTTCTCAACAAAAATAGTTTTTATGTTTTCACACAATGGGTTGAACTTGATGGACCTGTGTCTTTATTCAAACTCAAATACTATGTGTTCAATGCAAAGAGTTTGTTTGAATGCAACACATGACGTACATCCCACATAGTCATCCCGCTTAATGTCTTCCATTTACTATATCTGTCCTGCAGAGAATTGACTCCGCGTCCTTCCACCATGGGCTCACCTACTTTGGTCGCAGCGTAAGCGCAAAGATGGACTTGGATGGAGATGGCCTGGTGGACCTGACCATCGGCAGCCAGGGAGCTGTGGTTGTCCTCAGGTACGTAGGCAAAGTCTGGGTCTGTACAATCATTGGGAGAAGAAGTAGAAGATTGCAGGAAGATCCCGCAGATTTATCCCATGCGTTTCTTGAAGGGCCAGCCCGGGCACCAGGGATATTTTGGTTATAGGTCTGGTGGGCTGAGCTAGGTCCTGTATATGCCTCTATAAGGGATGTTTTGTGTCTTTCTTGCAGGTCTCGTGGGATCGTACGGGTCAATGCCACCCTTCAAGTGATCCCACCCTCCATCAACATGCTGCAGAAGAACTGCGTGCGGCAGGGCAAAGAGTCCGTCTGCCTCAACGTCACCGCCTGCTTCTCCGTCAGCTCCAAGTCATCCAGAAAATTGGACGTTCCTTTCGGTCAGTACCTCCATGTTTGTTTCTGTAATGAAAAACTCTGGTTATACTACCAGCTAGCATGCAGGAAGATGTGCGTTTCTCAGGTTCAACCCAGCTGCTTGTGGGGTCAGGAATTATCCTTCCCGACCTCACAAAGACAGTCCAAGCAATTCCCAGGAGCAAAATATTCTCCTACTATTGTTTAGTACCTTTAACATTTTTTGGTCCCGGATCTCAGGACACTGTTAACCCCACTGACAGTCCACGTTTTGTCCCCCTACCTTTCTGGGTAGGCATGCTCAAATCACACCCACATTATGGGTTGTTCCTGCCCAGACCCCTGCCTTTAAATATGGGACCTTGTATTGTCAGCTCCTTGAGGACAGGGACTGTATAGTATGTATATAGTGCCGGCACTATATAAATACCTATAATAAATAAATGTATAATATTCTGGGATCCTACTACGCCCATTTTATAAAGTCAGACTCTTGGAGTGATCCTTTGACAAAAGTTGTATCTCTCGTGCTGCTTCTGCCACGCAGGCCGCCGGTTACACGCAGCGTATTACAAATATTATGTGGTTTCCATACCACCTATAAGACCAACACTATCATTAACTTCCCAGCCCAGCCTGTGACTCCATAGGAGGGACTGCTGCATTGTAATGAGCTGAGCTCTGTCTCTCTCTTATGGCTGATATCAGGTACTGCATGCTGTAAAAGAAAATACCACTTTTAGCTTTATATTTATATATATTTCTTTGTAAAGGGCATCTGTTTATCCCGTTACAAAGTGTTCACACAGGATGGGTGGCGCTGTGCACCAATGAAAGGCGTGGGAAGGGGTACGATTACGGTGTGTGTATATATTATGGGATTAAAGAGAAGCTCTTCAGGTCTCCAGTTACTGTAATGCGTTTACCATCCTACCTGGGGGAGCGGAACATGAAACAGCTGCTAAAATACAGCCATGAAATGGGGATTTTACTGCGGAGGAGGCAGATTATGTGTGTGTGTGTGATTGTGATCATCGTATAATACATACATTGGATTTCCTCTTCTACCTGTTTAATGCTACTTTCATGTTTTATGGTTTAAACAGTAACGTAGGTGTGAACCTGATCACTAAAATCTCATGTTGGAAAGATTTCATCTCCCTTCCTGTTGTATCTCTGGGTCAGGAAAGAGAAGATAAATCTTTCCCAATGGGGACACAGAGCAAAAGAAAAAATGCTATGTGACTTGCTGCAGCTTCTAATGCACGTTGTGAGCAGCTCACAGTTTGCGGTGATATCAGAGGATGCCAGTTCAGTCCAGGAGAGGAGCCGGTACAACTGTGCAAGACTGAAGGGAAGGACGGAGGTCAGATAGAAGACTGAAGGGGGGGCCGGAGGTCAGATAGAGGACTGAAGGGAAGGACGGAGGTCAGATAGAAGACTGAAGGGAAGGACGGAGGTCAGATAGAGGACTGAAGGGAAGGCTGGAGGTCAGATATAAGACTGAAGGGAAGGATGGAGGTCAGATAGAAGACTGAAGGGAAGGATGGAGGTCAGATAGAAGACTGGAGGGAAGGACGGAGGTCAGATAGAAGACTGGAGGGAAGGATGGAGGTCAGATAGAAGACTGAAGGGAAGGATGGAGGTCAGATAGAAGACTGGAGGGAAGGATGGAGGTTAGATATGAGACTGAAGAGAAGGTTCAGCTTTAAGGAATGGTAGGCTGTGATGGGGGACTTCACCTGACACATGCTGAATTTTGGATGTTGTGTACAGCCGGCTTTAAGGGCTGATTTTCAGATGAATGGCGTACCTTGACGGTGAAATTGGTGATTGCCATTTGATATATTGTTCCTTCCCATCCTCCGCTGCAGGTCTCCACTACAACCTCTCCCTGGATGACCGCCGAGGGACCCCCCGTGCCGTCTTTGATAAAAGTTTCCAGAGGCTCACCAGCGTGCGCGTCCGAATCTCAACAGGGGTGGTGCTCTGCATGAACGTCAGCTTCCACGTCATCGTGAGTAACTGGGTGACTTTGGGCGAGTAGTATTGGAGTCAATGAATCACCTTGACAGCCGGGCAATAAGCATTTTCAGAAGGAGATAGGGAACAATCTAATAAATGGAGACCCCAAAAGATACAAAATGTTGGGGGGTGACTTGGCTCACCAAACTCCTTTTATAATTTAAAATACGACTTTTGGGTGCTGCAGTCTCCCTTCTCTTAAACTGCAGAAACTATCCTGGCTTCAGCCCCCACAGCCTCAAACATGTTAGGGAGGAGTTACTGTGCACTGCAACAGAGCTGGCTCACAGTGCAAGCACTCCTCCTGTCAGTTGTGTGGAGGAGTACGGGAAGGAAATATAAAGACTGATCAAAGATAATAAAACCAGAATCAATGAAGGGTTTATGTGTTGAAGGGTTGATATATTGAAGGGTTTATGTGTTGAAGGGTTGATGTGTTGAAGGGTTGATGTATTGAAGGGTTGATGTGTTGAAGGGTTGATGTATTGAAGGGTTGATGTGTTGATGGGTTGAAGGGTTGATGTGTTGAAGGGTTGATGTATTGAAGGGTTGATGTATTGAAGGGTTGATGTATTGAAGGGTTGATGTATTGAAGGGTTGATGTATTGAAGGGTTAATGTGTTGAAGTGTTGATGTGTTGAAGGGTTAATGTGTTGAAGTGTTGATGTGTTGATGGGTTGATGTGTTTAAGGGTTAATGTGTTGAAGGGTTAATGTGTTGAAGGGGTGATGTGTTGAAGGGGTGATGTGTTGAAGGGGTGATGCGTTGAAGGGTTGATGCGTTGATGGGGTGATGCGTTGAAGGGTTGATGCGTTGAAGGGGTGATGTGTTGAAGGGTTGATGCGTTGAAGGGTTGATGCGTTGAAGGGGTGATGCGTTGAAGGGTTGATGTGTTGAAGGGGTGATGTGTTGAAGGGTTGATGCGTTGAAGGGTTGATGCGTTGAAGGGTTGATGCGTTGAAGGGTTGATGCGTTGAAGGG